GAGGAGGAGGAGGAGGAAGAGGAGGGGGGGAGGGGGAAGGGAGGCAGGAAGCAAGGGAGGGAGGGAGTAGGAGGAAGACGAGGAGGAGGAAGGGGGAGGAGGAGAGGAGGAGGAGGAGGAGGAGGACGAGGACGAGGACGAGGACGAGGAGGACGAGGAGGACGAGGAGGATGAGGGCAAGGGGGAGGAGGAGGAGGAGGAGGAGGAGGAGGAGGAGGAGGAGGAGGAGGAGGAGGAGGATGAGGAGAACGAGGAAGAGGAGGAGGAGGAGGAGGAGGAGGGGGGAGGCAGGGCGAGGCCAGGGCGGATGAGGAGGAGAAGGGGGAGGGGGACCAGGAGCAGACGCGCTCCTGCTTGTGGCCGCCGCCGCATTCCGATTTTTGCGCTTCCCGCCGCCGCCGCGGTCTCCGCGGCCGCCGCCGCCGCCGTCGCCGTCCCCATCGCCGTCGCCGTCCCCATCGCCGTCCTCGTCGCCGTCCCCGTCGCCGTCGCCGTCCCCGTCGCCTTCGCCGTCCCCGTCGCTGTCGCCGTCGCCGTCGCCGTCGTCGTCGTCGTCGTCGTTGTCGTCGTCATCATCGTCGATGTCCTCGTCATCGTCGTCGGTTGCGGCGTCTTCCTCCCTCTCGTTATCCTCCCACACTCCTCCCTGTCACACCCCGGGGCTAGTCGAAAGGGCGGGCCGGACGGTTCGCCTGAGACTTGCTCACCAGTTGTGACTTTGGTGCTTACAAAATGAAAACGGTTTCACAGATGGAGGGGGTTGTTTTCAAAACGTGACTCTCGCCTTAGCGCCGCGCATATTCGCTTATATAATGTAATGAGGGCAGGTGGTTTTCGAAATGTGGCTCTCGCCCTAGCTTCGCGCACATTCGTTCTAAACATCGGTAAGAGTTTCGCGGATTGAGGACGGCTGGTTAACAACATGTGGTGCGCACGTTCCTTTTAAGAAATTGCAGCAGCTTTACGGATTGAGGACAGGTGGTTTTCAAAATGTGGTTCTCGCCTTAGCGCGGCGCACATTCGTTTTCAAAATTCGCAAGAGTTTCACGGAATGAAGGTGGCTCTGTTTTAAATGTGGTTCTCGCCTGAGCTCCGCGTGCATTCGTTCTAAACATGTGCTAGAGGTTCACGGGTTGAAGGCGGGTAGTGTTCAAAAGGTGATTCTCGCCTTCGCGCTGCGCACATTCGTTGTAGGAAGTTGCAGGAGCTTCGCGGATTGAGGGCGGGTGGTTTTCAACATGTGGGTCTCGCCTTCGTTCCGCGAACACTCATGCAAAACAACTGCAATCGATTCATGTATTGAGGGCGGTTCGTTTTCAAAATGTGGTTCTCTCCCTAGCGCCGCGCGCATTCGCTTAAACGAATGATCATAATTTAATTGATTCTCATGGCTAGCGTAGCGGAAATGCTGTTTTGAACGATTCGGGACTGTCGGGGCGCAATAGTTATTATGATTCGCGGTGTTGAAATTCCAGGAATGCTGTTCTAACACGTTTCAGGATCGCCAAGACGTAACAGTCAGGTTAATTCGTGGTGGCGTTGAAGCCCGCACGTTTCAAGATGTTCACACGGTTCTCCCCCAACTGGCAATTCCCTCAGTGGAAATGACGCTTGTTGTAAGGGCTTACGAAGAGGGATCTTGGAGGGAGGGTGTGATTCAACATCGTTGATGAGTCTGGGTTTGCACTGGTCCTCCTCCTCCTCCTTCTCCTCCTCCTTCTCCTCCTCCTTCTCCTCCTCCTCCTCCCCGTCCTCCTCCCCATCCTTTTCCCCTTCTCCTTCTCCGCCTCCTGCCCCCCCCCCCCCCCCCCCCCCCCCACCCCCCCCCCCCCCCCCCCCCGCCCCCAACCACCCCCCGACCCCCCCCCCCCCCCCTCCCCCCACCCCGCCCGCCCCCTGTCCTCTCCTCCTACTCCTACTCCCCCCTCCCCTCCGCCTCGCCTTCCTCCTCCCATCCTTATCCCCCTCCCAATCTACTCCTCCTCCTCCTCCTCCTCCTCCTCCTCCTCCTCCTCCTCCCCCTCCTCCTCCTCCCCCTCCTCCCCCTCCGTCTTCCTCCTCCCCTCGGGCCCCCGGGCTGCCGACCGCCCAGGCCCCTTGGGGGGCGCCGCGCCTGGCCGCGGCAGCGCGGGGCGGCCACCGCGGAGGACGGCCGCCGCGCGCGGCCACGCCCAATCGGCCGGCGACGGACGACGAGCGACGACCGAAGGACGACGAGCGGCGACCGACGAGCGACGAGGAGGAGGAGGAGGAGGAGGAGGAGGAGGAGGAGGAGGAGGAGGAGCGGCGACCGCGACGAGCGACGGTCGACGAGGGACGAAGGGCGACCCTGCTCTCGGGCGCCGTCGCAGGTCCTCGGAGGCTCTGCAGCGCTGGGGCGCGTTCCAGCGGCTGCGCCCCGTCGAGGGGCGCCGAAGACCCGAGTTCTGGCCCGGAGCCCAGACGACCGGCGGACGACGAGCGACGGGCGAGCTTTGTCTCTGACTCTTCTGCCTCCTCCTCCTCCTCGTGTTGTTCCCTTCTCCGCCTCCCCCTCCTCCTCCTCCTCCTCCTCCTCTTCCTCCTCCTCCTCCCCTCCTGCCTCCTCCTCGTCAGCATAAAATAATCATCATCATCATCATCCATCATCATCATCATCATCAATCATCATATCTCGTAAATCATATCATCAATCAGCATAAGAATCATTCATCATCATCGTCATCGGCCATCATCATCATCATCGTCATCGGCATCGTCATCGTAATCGTCATCGTCATCATCAACACGTCATTACACCATATTATCACTCTTATCCCCGCTCGACTCATTCCGCCGGCCCGTATTGTGCCATCGCAGGCGTTTGCTTGCGCGTTCGTGGCCTCTTGGAGCCTCGGTGGGGCCGTTTGGGGCCTCTTGGCGCCTCTTTTTAGGCCTCTTGGAGAACTCGGGAGGCATCCAGGGGGCCTCCTGAGCTCTCGTGACGGTCTCTTGGGGGGCTTTCGGCGGGCTCTTGGCGGTATTTGTTGGTCCTCTTGGGGCCTGGGGCCTGACGTTGTTGGTCCTCTTGGGGCCTCACAGGAGCTTATTGGGGCGTCTTGGTCGTCCCGTTTGTTTTTTCTTGTTTTTCTTTGTTTTTTTTTGCTTGTGTGTTGTTTTTGAGCTTGGTTCCTGGGGAAGAAGATTCTGGGCAGGCTGCATCCTTGTCGCCATGGCTGGATTCGGGGATTCGTCGCTACTGGCTGCATTGTTTTCCGCCCGAGTCCGAGGCGGGGTATCAAGTGTCGGCACTCGCTCCCGAGGGGGTAGTTGTGTTGTGCCTTCCCTGGCGGCCCGAGGGCCTGGCAAGGGGGGCGCCGTGTCGCAGGCTCCCGTGTGGGCCCGAAGGATCCCCTGAGGGCCCAAGCAAACCTCGTGGTGCTCGGAGTTGGCGTCTGCGGACCGACGACGGTGCCCCAGGAGGGCGCTTGGCGAACGATGCTTCGTCTGCGGGCCGAGGGCTATTGGCTGGCGTCGCCAGGGCTCTGCCCGAGGGCAAACCCACGCAGGGCTCTGTCCGAGGACACCCCATTCCCAGGGTCCCTGCCCGAGGGCAAACCCACGCAGGGCTCTGTCCGAGGACACCCCTTCCCAGGGTCCCTGCCCGAGGGCAAACCCACGCAGGGCTCTGTCCGAGGACGCCCCTTCCCAGGGTCCCTGCCCGAGGGCAAACCCACGCAGGGCTCTGTCCGAGGACACCCCTTCCCAGGGTCCCTGCCCGAGGGCAAACCCACTCAGGGCTCTGTCCGAGGACACCCCTTCCCAGGGTCCCTGCCCGAGGGCAAACCCACGCAGGGCTCTGTCCGAGGACACCCCTTCCCAGGGTCCCTGCCCGAGGCCAAACCCACGCAGGGCTCTGTCCGAGGGCAGCCCCACAAACAGGGGCGGAGTACTCTGGAGTACTCCTGGTTGCTGGGCCGCTGGTCGGCCAGCATTCGCCCCCCTGCCCCATAGGGCAGCTTGGGCTTGGCGGCGCGCCGCCTTGACCGCACCGAGGCCCTCGAGGTCCTCGTTGCGTGCGGGTCCCCGTAATTCACACCATCATTGATTCTCTTTCCTCGCTCCCCCCGCTCTAATTGGAAAATCGAAAAGTGATGGGTGTGAGGGGCGTGTTGGCTCGCGGGGCCTGCGCGGACCATGTCCTATGCGTGACGGGGGCGGCTTCGTGCGAGGCCCTGGACGGTTGGGTGGCCCGCTGGACGGGCACGCTCATCTGCGACGATAACTGCGCTTCCCTGTCGGTGGTCGTCTGTCTTCCGTCGGTCCGCCCTTGTCACGCTGGCGGGCGACAGAGCTCTAGCTCTAATGGAGTGGCGGTGCGCCTGTGCGCACGCGTTTCTCAGTCTGTACGCCCGTGCCCCTATGACGCCGTCTGCAGGCCTGGGTGGTGCATCCAGGTCGCAGACGGGGATAGGGGGCGGAAGGGTCTTCTGTACTTTCCCGAGACAGCACCTCGCCTTCAGCGCCGCGTCACGTTCGCTCGTTTGCGTGGGTGCGCCTTCTGCTACGGCGGGCTCGTGCAATCGTGCTCGATCCGGCAAGCTCTCTGGAATGCCTGTTCCGTGCGTCCGCTGGCCCGCCAGCGCCCTGGGGTGTTGCATGTTCGTCTTCTTTCCACTAATGGAGAGGCGGTGCGCGCAGCTGGTGCCAAGGGCGCCGCTTCCTGTGCGCAAAGAGCCCCGGATTAATCCAGGGGGGCGTGGATCAATCCAGCGGGTTCCGTTTCCACGTGTCTTGTTCTGCGACGGTAGCCGCGCTTCCTAAGAGGGCATTCGCAAAATGAATGACCTTTGCAAAGAGGCTGCTGGGAGCACCCTATCATCCTTTCACGAGCAGTTCGGTGGTTCCGTGCCTTTTGGGCCATCGCCAATCGTGGTCCCGTTGCCTTTTGGGCTCGAGGACTCTGCCGCGCGGCCTGTTCTTCTGCGACTGCAGCCCAGGCTTTCACAGTTCTCTCGCGGCCACACCCGCTCTCACGACGGATGGCGTTCACCGGCTCCGAGGTCCGCGCCGCGCTCGCCGGGCTTCCCGAGTCTGCGTTCGGGGTCGACTCGCTCGAGAAGCGTGCGGCCTGGGTCGACTACGTGATGTCCGTGGACGAGGAGCCGAAGAACAAACACGATTTGTTCTTCTACGCCAGCACGGCCCGCGTGCTCGCCGACGTGGCGGGGTCGGTGGAGCCGGCAGACATCTGCGACGCCCATATGCGCCAATTCATCATTTCGGGGATGGCGGTTAACACGAAACCCTTCCCCGACGAGAGCGAGGGCGTTCAGTGGAAGGCCTTCGTGGTCAAGCCGGCTCACGTCAACTTGGCGTTAAGGGTCCAATCAAAGGCCCAGCAGTCATCGGCCGCGAGCGCGCCGGGCCCGAGTAGCCAGGCAGACCAGACGGCGCAGGCCATCGCCAAGTGGGCGGAGGTCCAGAACGCAAAGGCCGAGAAGGAGGCCAAGCGCGGCACCTCGAGCTTCAACCTGGAGGCCAGGGTGACGGAGGTTGGGTTGCAGTGCATCCAGAAACTGTCGCCGGAGTTGCTCCCTACCGAGGAGTCTCTGTTGCGAATGGAGAACCTTGCCTCCGCCAAGGTCGCAAGAGACAAGAGCCGCAAGTGGGTCGGGTCCTCCGAGGGCGAGGATCTGATCGTCAACTTCCGGCCCGGCTTCTCCAAGACACCCAAGCTGGACTTGCCCCTCGGGTCTGGCTCACTGGACGACAAAGCGCGGGATGCCCGGGAGGCAAAGCGCGCCCGCACTGCAGAGGAGCGCACTGGCTTCCTGGGCTTCGCCAACTTCATGGGCCACCTGCACGACTGGGGCCTCAAGATGGTGCTGTCCAAGGTGATCACCCCGGTGCAGTTCTGGGCCTACGAGCTCCAGCTGGTCAAAATGTCAGAGGAGCAGGGTGGCGGCCGCGTCGTGTTCTATTACGACATGCTCCTGCGGCAGAAGCTCGCCCACGCGCTGGAGCTTGGCCAGAACGACCAGATCGAGGCGCTCCTCTGCAAGCTCGACAGGGATGCGTTGCAGGACGCCAAGCACCAGGTGTCGAAGCGCGCCGAGGAGGCCAGCCGGGTGACCGGGAAGCAGCCCGCCGCTGCTGGCGGCAACGCCGGGGCGCCCAAGGGTGACCAGAAGGGCGGCAAAGGCGGCGGCGCCAAGACCTCGCCGGCCCCGGCGTCGCCCGTGCTGCAGCGCTCCAGGAGCCCGGCGGCGAGCAGGAAGCCGAAAGGCAAGGGCGCCGGGGGCAAGGGGCCCGAGCAGAAGTGGGAGCAGAATTGGGGCAAGAAGCAGGCCTGGAAGCAGCCCGAGCAGAAGTGGTCGAACTGGTGAGACGGCCCGGAGAGCGACCCGAGCGACGCGTCCTCCGACGCGGAGGGGTTCTCAGAGAGCCCTGCTGGTGCCCCCGGCGCCGCCTGCGGTTTCGCTGCGCTCCGCGATGCAGTGGACACGTGTTTACAGGACCCTTCCGGTTCCGGGTGCGAGGGCCCCCTGAGCCATTTAGACTGGGCGCTGCGCCTCCCGAGGTGCACCGGGGTGTTGGAGACCCCCGAGGCGTACAGGTCAGCGATTAATTGGCATTGCGCCGACCCTAGTGCAGTTTTGTCGTTCAGGACCCGCCAGCTGGCATTCTGGCGGCACCGCCAGCGCGTGACGGCTCCAGCGTGGCTGGCTCAATACGCGGGCCTGCCCGCCCACGTGCGGTCCATCCTGGGGCCGGAGAAGAATTCAGGTGGCTTTTTGTGTTGTTTTTTTTTTCTTTTTTTTTTTGTTTTTTTTTTTGTATTTTTTTTGTTTTGTTTTTTATGCTTTTTTTTTTTTTTTTTTTTTTTTTTTTTTTTTTTCTTTTTTTTGCTTTTTATTTTTTTTTTTTGTTTTGTTCCCCTTCTTTTTTTGCTTTACTTTTTTTTTATTGCCGCAGGTGGCGAAGAGTGCGAAATGCTCGAGGCGGCCGGCTCGCCGGACCTCGCGCTACCGACAGATCTGGCGTACGGTTTCCCCCTCGTCGGGGAGATACCACGCAGCGGCGTTATGCGCCCGCGCGCTGGGCTGCCCGGTGAGTCCCCCGAGCAGCTTCTCCAGGGCGCGCCGGAGCAGAACGAACGCATTCTTGAGAGAGTCAGAGCAGCAAGGCCATCGGATGTTAACGTGGCCGAGGCCTTGCGCGAGCGCGCGCGCGTTGAAGTGGGGGCCGGCCAGGCTGGCTGGCGCCCGCTGCCGCCCGACCTCGCCGGCGTCGTGCTCTCGCCGCGCTTCGCTGCCGACGAGGGTTGGCGGGTCGTGGACGGCCGGTGGCCCCTGAAAGTACGGGCCATCGATGACCTCACAGCCTCTGGGGTCAATTCCACGGCCGCGGCGCTGGAGTGCATTGAGCACGAGACGCTCGATGTCCTGGCAGCAACCGTCCAGGCGTTAGTCGCTGGCGGGACCGGCGTGGAGCACATCCGGTTCCGGAAGGACGACGTGTGCAGTGCGTATAAGACGTTGCCATTGCGCGAAGACCACATGCCGTTTGCAGCCGCCGTAACGGCTGACTCGGTTGA